TCTCTCGCTCTGAATGTGAGTTTAAAAACATTTGTGGTCAAGGCCGAAAGATGATTAAAAGTGAGGCCAGAAAAAAAAAGTTAAAAGTTGAAACATAACAGGGAGAACTCGGCCTTGAAAGTTGTAAAAAAAAAAATACTAGCTAAAACTTTTTGTTCCGTTTAAATGGTCTCACAGCTAACGTCGTTAAAAAGCTAATGTACTGTATTGAATCAAAGGCAGTTAGCATGAAGCTAAAAATGATCAAAATGCTGGCCGAAAAAAAAGATAAAAATTAATTTATATTTAATTTTCAAGTCAGAGAAACGGAACCAAGAACTTTAAACTGAAATGCGACTTTCTCTTAAAAGTTTTTAACTAACTTTACGTAATAGTTGGCAAGTGAACGTTAATTTTTTAAAAGCTTCAGCACTCCTGAAAAAGTTCTAAGGAATTTCACTTTTTTAACGCACAACAGTTTTGTTTTTCATGTCTGTGTAGCGCTATCTTTAGCCTATTAGCAATATCTATATAAATATATATATATATTATATATTATAAACAGATTATAAACAGGAAATTATATGGAAAACTTTAACAGATATATATTTATATATCTATATGTGTTTTAGCGCTATCTTTAGCCTATTAGCAATATCTATATAAATATATATATATATTATATATTATAAACAGATTATAAACAGGAAATTATATGGAAAACTTTAACAGATATATATTTATATATCTATATGTGTTTATATATGTTTAGATATTTAGATATATTTTTATATATATTTATATATGTGTTTATATATGTTTATATATATTTGTATATATATAGCCTTTACAGCTTATTTTTTAAGATATTTGGAGACATTTTTTTTTACTGCAACTATAATAATAATGACAATATACGAGGATCTTTGACAATCATCAACACACACGTTGACGATGATGATGACGATGATTTGACGACTAGCGCTGCGACTAACGGACGTCACGTGACCAGAGTCATCACGGAGTCCTTTAATCTGGATTACTCAAGAACCACTTGTTGTCGGTTCGGTTCCTTTAGGGCGACTTCTGGTCTGATCTGATGACGTTGTTGTTTGGAACATGCCAGAACATCAGCACTGAGGTGCGAACAGGCCGCTCAGCTCACCTTAGTTTAGCTTAGGGGGGAGGAGGAGATGGGGGAGGAAGGGGAGGAGGGGGTGTCAATTGAATTCTCAGGTCTGGGGATTAATTTCCATGATAAAGAGCGAAGCAAACACAGCGGTTTGAAACAAAAACAAAAGGAAACTTCACATTACACCATCACCTCTACAACCTTCTTCCCTTAATCCTTTCTTCAGCCTCTCAGCTGATTGCATCAAAGCAGCAACCGGCGACGCTGCCACCGGCGACCTGACGGAGAGGAACGCTGGGAGTCTTCATCACTCCAAGTGTAACAAATGATTCCTTTAACAACGTCCAGTAATTCAATCAGATTTAGGATTAACGGCTTCGGACCACATTAGTACACAGAAAACGTCGCGAATGTAGTAGTACTACTTTGAAATACCTAAATATATTGAAATACCTAAAAGTATTGAAAGAAAAACTAAATATATATATATATTTATATATATATATATATATAGTGAAATAAGACAAAAAAATAAGTGTTTAAATGTAACCGCGGAGGTAAAAAAAGTCCAACTTTGGTCTTAAATTAGCAGAAATGCGAAAACATTGTCTTTATTTTAGCCAAAATTAAATAAAAAAATTTTTTTAAGTTAAAATTTAAAAGAAAAATGAAAATATAATGCAGGGAAAAATAGTAAAAATGACGAAATTTTAGCCCCTAAAAATTGAGCCGGGGGACAATTCAATCAAAATAAATAAACTTCGAATCCAATTATTGCGGTACAAAGGTTCGGAATAATGATAAATATGAAAAACAAGCTAATATTAAAGTTGAAGTTCGGTGAGAATTTTTACATTTTTTTTTCCCGTGGTTTGTGTTTCACTTTGTTTCACTCGAACACGAAGTCCTGACGAAGAAAAAGTTACAAAAGCTAAACGTTAGGTTAGAGTTTAAAAATTAAAAAAATTAAAAATGATCTTGTACCCTGCTGGTGAGAAAGTGAATTGCATGAAAAAAGGTCAGAAAAATAAAAAATATAAGAACAAATATATATTGGATATATCTTTTTATTTTAAAAAATAAAATAAAAAAATAATAAAATAAATAAAGTAAAATAAATTTACTTTATTTTTTTATATTTTTTATATTAATGGAATAAATTTATATTGGCACTAATAAAATATAAGAAAAAATAAGATCATAAAAACAGATTCACATTGGACTTTAAACACAATCGAATGTGTAATAAAAATGTTAACGCTATAGAGTTAAGTTGTAGGCAGATGTATAGCGCCACCTTTCTTTTTTCCTAGTATTTATAGCCAATAAATTAAAAAAACAGACATCGTTCTTAAAGACTTTGTCTGGTCTGAGTGAAACAATTTACGTTTATTAGTTTGAATTAAAAATTGTTTCGTAACTCCCACCCCTGAAGGGGTCATGGGTGGGGTTGGAAACAAACCCCCCCCACCCTGACTGAACAGGTCCAGCAGCATGGTTGATCCACAGAGCAACCCCCCCCCGTTCCCTCCACCCTTGAAACTGAAATACAACTCTGACGTTTCTTTCACAAAGTTGACGTCGAAATCGCAATTTTTTCAATTTTAAATTTTTTAACAGATATATATTTATGTATATGTTTATATATATCTATGTGTTTTTATATATCCATGTGTTTATATATGTTTATATATATTTATATATGTTTATATATATGTCTATATGTGTTTATATATGTTTATATATTTACATGTGTTTATATATATTTATATTTATAAATATATATATATCTATATGTGTTTATATATGATTATATATATTTATATGTGTTTGTATATATATATATATATTTATATATATGTTTAGATATTTACATGTGTTTATATATATGTCTATATATATATTTATATATATTTATATATGTGTTTATATATATGTTTACATATATTTACATATCAAAATTTTTGAATTTGTAATTTCAGAATTTTTTATCATTTTTTTCTCTATTTTCTTTTAACATAATTTTTTCGGAGTTGTGTTTACAGCCATCAACAACGTGCGACATTTTTCGTTTTTCGCGCTCCTGCTCGGTCGCCGTGGTTACAATGCAACAGCTATTAAAGGTGCATTTTGTGACCTAAATTGTTACAATTTTTTTTTAACTCTAACCCGACTGCCAATCATAGCCACAGACACACACACCAGGTGGCCCCCCTCCCCTCCGTGTGCCCCCCACTTCCCCAGTAGGAGGACTGGACGCCTGCTGCTCTGCAGAGCAGATATCTGTTAAACAAACACTTTTGTAAATTTAAAAAAATCAAGGTGAGCAGATAAGAAACAGATGGTGGCGCTAGAGCCTGATCTGCCAAGATAACGTCCTGATCCTGATCCTGACATCAGCATCGCAGGATGGAGGGTGGAGGAGGCTGACGGGGGCAGGGAGGGGGAAGGAAAGGGGGTCCGTCATCAGAGAGGGTTACGATTTATTTCTCGACATCTCCTCCGATCAAACGTCTTTCGACGTTGTACACGTCGGGCTCCTTCTTCGGGCCTGGACCACACATGAGCCTCCACCACAGCTGCCGCCACATTTGATCTGAAGCTGCCGCCGTGGCGTTAATGCCGACTCCGACTCTGACTCTCAGTTCGTGTGCGAACAAACGTCTGGAGCCAGAGAGATCGGAGATGGGAGATCCAAGTCGTCGTCGTCATCCTCCGTGTCTGGGCGTCACTTTCCAGCCTCGTCAGAGACGGCGATAAGTCACCCAGGTGTTATCTGTGACCTGGTGTTTGTTTGAAGTGGAAAAATTGTTGCCCCCTG